GGACCTCCGGGCAGCCTGCCAGGCGGGGGCTTCTCCTGTGAGCCGGCCTGCCCTCTTCTCTTTCCAGTTGCTGCGCACATCTGTGGGGCAGGGCAGGGGTAGGGCAGCCTTTCTTCCGGGTGTGCGCTAGTCGATGCTCTGCTGCTCCGGGCAGAGACCGTGGGCCTGGTGCATTCTGGACGGGATTGCTCCTGGCTCGACCGTCCTACACCGCTCCTCTGTCTGCTGCGGCCCCACCCCCCCTCCTGCCCTCTTCTCTTTCCAGTTGCTGCGCACATCTGTGGGGCAGGGCAGGGGTAGGGCAGCCTTTCTTCCGGGTGTGCGCTAGTCGATGCTCTGCTGCTCCGGGCAGAGACCGTGGGCCTGGTGCATTCTGGACGGGATTGCTCCTGGCTCGACCGTCCTACACCGCTCCTCTGTCTGCTGCGGCCCCACCCCCCCTTCCCCCGTGGGCCCAGCCTGCCACCTCTCCACAGGAAGTTCTCTTGGCCTGACGCGCTCTCTGGCCCTGCCGGCTTCGACCACACGGTCCCTGGCCCGGAGCCCCCAGCACGCCCCGTATTGCTGCTCAGGCATCTGGGGCTTCCCGTGCCTGTCAGCGCTGCTGCTGCTGAGCACCTCCCCGCCCGTTACTGCCCAGGCCCGACCCGGCTTTAGGGCCTGGTTCAGCCCTCTCTACAAGAGAAGGGGTATGCAACAGTGGGGTGGAAGCCCCCCCACTGCCCTGCACCAGGAGGCCACTCTGTGTATGTGCCCTCCTTGTGCTGGGTGGATCAGCCTGGGGGTGCCCGACTTACAGCCCCGAGGGGCTGCAGAGGGTTGTTCAGGGAGTCTGACAGCGCCCTGCTTCCCGCACTGGGGCAGACGCGGTGCCGGGGGATCCTGCCTGCACTGTGGTGACGCCTCCCTGCACTCAAACCAGCTGCACTCACCTTGGGTGGGAGCGGAGAGGCATGCCCAGAGAGGAGCATTAAGGGCTCCACTCCCAGGGGCGCCGGGAAGCGTGCAAACGCCGGCAGTGGCACAAGGAGTCCTGGGAAGAGGGGACCGTGCCCTGGCGGCGCCAGACGAGCGAGGGTGCCCCGGGAAAGCTGCCTGGCTCGTCACCGTGGCCCTTTGCTGTGGGTCTAGCGCAGAGCGTGGCGGAGCCATGGACTCTAACCGCGCCCCTCCTCTTGCCCGCAGGGTTCCTGTGTTTCTTGCTGAGCTTCCTGGGGGTCACCGCGGGCGCCCATCGTCTCTGGAGCCATCGGTCCTACAAAGCCAGCCTGCCCCTGCGGGTCTTCGGGTCTTTCTGGCCTTCCCCACCTCCTGGGCTTTCCAGGTAGGCACCTCCTCGCTGGCTGGCCTGGCCTGCGGGTCCCGACGTTGCCCACCCGTACCGTGGGAAGCGGGTTCGAGTCCCATTCCCGCCACTCGCCTCTGACCGCTGCACCCCCTGTGCTGCCTGAGCAGAGCACTGCCCCTGTCACGCGGCGGGGGGAGACCGAGTAGCCCTGGAATGGCCAAAACAAAACTCCCATCAACACGGGGCCTTCCAGCCACTGGGATTCGGGCACGCTGGGGTGTCCCTTGGCTTCCTCGGCCACCTGGTCTGTATGGCCCTGGCGCCAGAGCTTGCGGGGCTGCTGCCCATCCCGCCATGTTCCTTGCAGAACGACATCTACGAGTGGGCCCGGGATCACCGCGTCCACCACAAGTTCTCCGAGACCAATGCCGACCCCCACAACGCCACGCGGGGCTTTTTCTTCTCCCACATCGGCTGGCTGCTGGTGCGCAAGCACCCCGACGTCCTGGAGAAGGGCAGCAAGCTGGAGCTGGCCGACCTGAAGGCCGACAAAGTGGTGATGTTCCAGAGGAGGTGAGCTGGGCATGGCTGGGGC